TATCATCTGTCTGTCTGTCTGTCTGTCTGTCTATTTATCTATCTATCTATAATCTGACAATATCTATCTATCTATAATCTATCCATCTATAATCTATCTGTCTATCAATCTATAATCTGACAATATCTATCTGTCTATCAATCTATAATCTATCTATAATCTATCTGTCTATCAATCTATAATCTGACAATATCTATCTATCTATAATCTATCCATCTATAATCTATCTGTCTATCAATCTATAATCTGACAATATCTATCTATCTATAATCTATCCATCTAATATCTATCTGTCTATCAATCTATAATCTATCTATAATCTATCTATCTGTCTATCAATCTATAATCTGACAATATAGATAGATAGATAGATAATATATCTATCTATAATCTATCTATCAATCTATAATCTGACAATATCTGTCTATCAATCTATAATCTCTCTAGCTGTCTATCAATCTATAATCTGACCATATCTATCTATCTGTGTTTGTCTATCTATCTATCTATCTATCTATCTGTCTGTCTGTCTGTCTGTCTGTCTGTCTATCACGTCTCAGTTTTTCCCTTTACATCTTCTAGCTTTAAGAAATGTACTTTTATTTTCACAACAGTAAGTGTTCTGATTTCGTGATTTCCCGAGAACAGTAAAGCATCACATCTGCTGAGGAATGTCTCGGTATTTTGAGTTGTGAGAGTTTGTGATTGCCCGAGTGATCTGTCACTCACATCGCGTGGATAAAGCAGAGGAAAAAAGAAAAGAAATAGTTTCAAGATGGCGACCAACAACCGCCTGAACACTGGAAAACAATAGAGACAGCGCAGTAGGGCAGACTTTGTTTCTTTACCGTTTGCTTTTTCTTTTTCGTGTCGAGTCAAACCGGGGGACAGTAGTTGGTTGTGTGTACTTAAGACTTTTGAAGCAAATTTGGAAATAAGCGAGTTTATAATGCTTTGTTTGAGGGCTAGTTAGCAAGCAGGCTAAGCTACATCCGTAGCTGTAATGTAACTGTGAGGATCAGCTGTTAGCCGCACTGCTACTTTAAAAGTTACTTTTACCAGTAAAACTCACTCGTAACTCTCTAAGTTGCTGTTTTGGGGCTGAATGGATGTAATGTATGCGTTTTTATCCATCACTTTCTAACCTTTCGTCGATAGGTTTTTATCTCAAGTACGTCTTTTGTCAAACTTCAACTGTGAAGCGAAAAAAAATGCACATTTATTTTTAATTTGTTGCTAAGTTAAACGTTTCGCGACAAGAGAGAAAAATCGATTTAACGTGTTGTATGCGCAAATATAAACGGGAGGTAAATATTTAAGAGTTTGAAGGTTGCAAAAAGAGATACCTTAAGTAAAAGTTTCCAATCCTCTTAAACTTTTCTCTAAATTATTTACGTGTCTAAACAAATGTAACTTTTATATATGATGAATACGTGATTAGTGTTAGTAAACGGGTTCATTCATAAAATTGTAGTTTGTACTTCATACTTCTTGTGTCAGGACTCCCGGCTTGAATATACAGTTATATAAGAAACATTGTTCTGTGATTTTTGAGCGTTCGCGTAAAGGAAACTTTGATTGGAGTTTTTGCGTTTCGACTCTTTTCTGAATATAAGCGCACACATCTGAACTATGTGCCATTTCTTTTGTTGTATAAGGAGGCAGAAAGTGCTGAAAATGGAGGCAGTTGAGCGTGTTTTGTAAAAACGCACACGCACGCAAACAGCACGATCAGTCCTGAGAGTTGTGCTGGTATCCGGAGACTCGAGCGAGCTTATAAACGCGCTATTGTTCTGGATGATGGCGGATTTCGTGGTGCCGCGGCACAGCGCCGTGATGGAGCGGCTGCGGCGGCGGATCGAGCTCTTCCGGCGGCATCACACCGGCTGTGAGAACCGATATGACAGCACGGCCATGGAGCGGCTGGAGATGGACAGACAGCAGACGTTCGCGCTGCATCAGCGCTGCCTGCAGACCAAGGCCAAGCGCTCGAACAAGCACCGGCAGCCGGCGGCAGCGCCGAGCGGGGACCCGGCGGGGCAGAGAGGGACGGGCGGCGGGGGCACCAGCGCGGAGCTGGCGGACGGAGGGAGCGGGACGCCCGGGGAGCAGAGCAGAAACAGCACGCTGATCGCGGTAAGTCTATGGGAAACGAGTCACGATGCCTCTGTAGATCTGATGACTGAAAGATGGTAGCTTCAAACCTTTCGTGTGATGATTTAGAAAGTACTACTACCATTGAGCTTACTCTAAGAGGACTGAAGAACTGTGTTACAAGTTAACGTTGGTCTCCTAAATGACAATAGTAAAGTAGACTAAGAACCTGAAAAGGTGCTTGCATACACGTGCTGATCTTGTAGCGTCGGTAGGTTTGAGGTGCTTCGGCAGGTGTGCTGCTAGTTGAAGTTGCACGGCTGCATCAGCATCAACAGCGTTGAGGTCATGTGACCGTGACAGGAGCACGCGTCCAGGTCCAGCACGTCGCATGAGCTCCGTGCTGCTCGCTGTGTGCCGCAGATGTTTCGATGAATGATCACCTCATGGCCGTGTTTGTTTTTGCAGCGTGCATTTGCTGCACTTTCCAAAACACCATCACTGATCGAAGCTTTCAAAGCATCCCTGCTTCTAGTTTTCTTTGAAAACACCCCTGGCCCTGAAAGACTTAAGGCCATGTGTGAGTGTCGTTGCATTGGATAACAAAATAGTAAACCAAGAAATAGAGCACGAAAATACTTTTCTTAGGTTTGAAATCTGTATAATGCAACTTTGTGATTGTGAAATGTTCCTGCTGCTGCATCTGCCTGACTCTTGCTCTGATAGTTTCTGATGCAGTGACGTTCTGAAATAAAGTGTCATCAAAGCCCAATGCTTTGTAGTTCCACTTTAAACAAGAGTAGTATTTTGCCCTGCTTGGGTCTTTAAAAAACAGGACTTCCTTCACATGTTGTTTTCCTTGTAAAGATATTGCGGCAGTGCGGGCATAGAGAGCAGTGTATATTATAATGTTGAAACCATGGCTGGTTTTACAGAGACAGTCAGGCTCCTGAAACTGATAGCATGTAGTTTGAGGACATTAGGCCACAAAAAACACTGCAAAGACAAGTCATGAGTGTAGATTTACATGTTCCTCAGCTGATTAATCTCACACTGTACTGCAAGAAACTGAACTGATAAGGGCAGCTTTCTTTATGAATGAATCACTGTAGCAACTATAACATCTGACAGCAGGTTTATTCTCTCCTGAAGAGGTGTGGGCAGTAAAGTCGCCTGAGAACTGACGCAGATCTATGTTGAAACCAGTGTCCTTTCCTCCATTGCACCAGGAACTGCCATGCATGAGAAAAGGCAGTCTTCAGTTTGAGGTCTCCGTGTGTTGCGTGTTGGTGCATTTCTAGAAGTGCAATCAAAAATACAAACGCAAACAAAAATATAACGTAGAAATAGGCAGAAAACGAACTATTCCTTCCTAGCAGAAAGTAATAATTCAAACAGCAGATCTATAAACAAGTATTACGCAAAACACTCACGTGCAGCCGTCTGTCTCTTCTGTTGACTAATCGCTTGGCCCGGCGATTTATTTATTAATAAACTAGTGTTTTCTGAGTCAGTGATGGCTGCAAAGATGAAATGGATGCTGAATGATTAAATGGATCACCATCTCCACACTACAGTCTTCAGAGAGAAATGCACTTTCATACAGATTGCATAATCGGAGTGTTTTTGTTTTGGATTTGAATTGGTTCATTCAAAAGTAGACATTTCAAGCTTTCTATAGATATATTTCTCATGTCTGCAAGGCAGGTATAGCTTATATTTTTGTGATGCGCTCCAGTTCATGGAGACCGAGACAGCAGAAAGCACACCTTGTTTGTTTTATTTATTTTACATAAGCACAGTGTTTTGTTGATATTGTGATTGTATACAAATAAAAGTACACCATTAACAGTCTAATGATATATTACTTTTATCTGTATAAGCAAAAATGATGGCGTATTATAAGTTGTTTTCAATGTTATCAGGGAAAAAATGCCAGTGATCACACCAGCGCCTCCATGTCATGCAGTAGTGCGCTAATAGCTTCCACACTCTGCACAAACACTTGGAAATCCGCCTAATCTAGGGCACATTGATCTAGCTTAACATTCTAGCGAGTAGCCATGTAAAGTTTCTACTACTTGCATGTTTCAACTCCAAATGATAAACCATATTTGAGGTCGATGAATGATAGGATAATTTTTGTGTTCCCATTTGCCCCAATACCAAAAGAAAAAAAACAATAGTGTTTCTATGACCAAAAGAGGGAAAAATACCGAGATGGTCATAATGTTGGTCAGAAGATGTCAATTTTGCTGTCACTCCCTCAGCTGCTGTATTAAGCCCAAAGTGTTCTTTGGCTGTCTGTGATGGTCTGTGCACTGTCCGCGTGACCTCTAGGTGGTACTGCGCATTAGGGCTGAAACCATTATTTGACATTATCGACAACATCGACAATAAAAAAAATGTCGACAAGTATTTTTGTTGTCAAAAAGTCGTTTAATCTCATATGACCTAATGTAAGAGCCTGCAATAACGCAGTTTGACCAGTGTGGCGCTGTAGTGCAAGACTGTTATTCAGCTCTCCCGGATGAAATTCAAGAGAAGAGACAGACTTAAATATGTAAATGTGAACGAAATAACAAAATAAACACACAACAAAAATGTCCGGCAGCCGGCGGCAGCGCCGAGCGGGGACCCGGCGGGGCAGAGAGGGACGGGCGGCGGGGGCACCAGCGCGGAGCTGGCGGACGGAGGGAGCGGGACGCCCGGGGAGCAGAGCAGAAACAGCACGCTGATCGCGGTAAGTCTATGGGAAACGAGTCACGATGCCTCTGTAGATCTGATGACTGAAAGATGGTAGCTTCAAACCTTTCGTGTGATGATTTAGAAAGTACTACTACCATTGAGCTTACTCTAAGAGGACTGAAGAACTGTGTTACAAGTTAACGTTGGTCTCCTAAATGACAATAGTAAAGTAGACTAAGAACCTGAAAAGGTGCTTGCATACACGTGCTGATCTTGTAGCGTCGGTAGGTTTGAGGTGCTTCGGCAGGTGTGCTGCTAGTTGAAGTTGCACGGCTGCATCAGCATCAACAGCGTTGAGGTCATGTGACCGTGACAGGAGCACGCGTCCAGGTCCAGCACGTCGCATGAGCTCCGTGCTGCTCGCTGTGTGCCGCAGATGTTTCGATGAATGATCACCTCATGGCCGTGTTTGTTTTTGCAGCGTGCATTTGCTGCACTTTCCAAAACACCATCACTGATCGAAGCTTTCAAAGCATCCCTGCTTCTAGTTTTCTTTGAAAACACCCCTGGCCCTGAAAGACTTAAGGCCATGTGTGAGTGTCGTTGCATTGGATAACAAAATAGTAAACCAAGAAATAGAGCACGAAAATACTTTTCTTAGGTTTGAAATCTGTATAATGCAACTTTGTGATTGTGAAATGTTCCTGCTGCTGCATCTGCCTGACTCTTGCTCTGATAGTTTCTGATGCAGTGACGTTCTGAAATAAAGTGTCATCAAAGCCCAATGCTTTGTAGTTCCACTTTAAACAAGAGTAGTATTTTGCCCTGCTTGGGTCTTTAAAAAACAGGACTTCCTTCACATGTTGTTTTCCTTGTAAAGATATTGCGGCAGTGCGGGCATAGAGAGCAGTGTATATTATAATGTTGAAACCATGGCTGGTTTTACAGAGACAGTCAGGCTCCTGAAACTGATAGCATGTAGTTTGAGGACATTAGGCCACAAAAAACACTGCAAAGACAAGTCATGAGTGTAGATTTACATGTTCCTCAGCTGATTAATCTCACACTGTACTGCAAGAAACTGAACTGATAAGGGCAGCTTTCTTTATGAATGAATCACTGTAGCAACTATAACATCTGACAGCAGGTTTATTCTCTCCTGAAGAGGTGTGGGCAGTAAAGTCGCCTGAGAACTGACGCAGATCTATGTTGAAACCAGTGTCCTTTCCTCCATTGCACCAGGAACTGCCATGCATGAGAAAAGGCAGTCTTCAGTTTGAGGTCTCCGTGTGTTGCGTGTTGGTGCATTTCTCTCAATAACAAAATAAACACACACACACACAAAAATGACAGCGGTGAGAAAACAGCAGTTAAGAAAGCATCTGATCATAGCGACGTGGATAAGCTTGCACCAGCTCTACAATCGTCACTCCTGTCATGTCACGTTTATTTATATAGCGCTTTATACAATAAATTGATTTAAATCACACAGCTTTACTGAATTAAACCAGAAAAAACAGTCTCACAGTGTCAGTCTTGCTTTCAGTTAGAATTGCAACTTGATTTTCTGCTATAAAGCAGCTGTCCAGTGTTGAGCTAGCTAATGATAGAACCTTTTTATTAGTAAATGCAAAAGTAAATAAAAAATCATTACATCATAGTAGGGCTGCACGATTAATCGCATGCGATATTTAATGTGCATCTTGTCAGAAAGCCGGTTCTGTAATCAGCAGTAAATCTCCATCACGTGCGTGCTTTCACATTGAGCAGCATTAACTACACAGAGCCGTTGTTCACTGACAAGCAGCGCAAAAAATCGCGCGAATATGAACGTGGTTTTGCGCAGCTCTTCAGTGAACAACGGCTCTGTGTAGTTAATGCTGCTCAATGTGAAAGCACGCACGTGATGGAGATTTACCGCTGATTACAGAACCGGCTTTACTGATAAGATGCGCGTTAAATATCGCATGCGATTAATCGTGCAGCCCTACATCATAGTGATAGTTTGGTTTACTTAGATTAAAGCTTGGATGTTTTTATTACTATAACACTGTAAGGTGTTTTAAGAGAGCTAATGTTGTGAATTAAATAATTTATCGAAAATAAAATGTCTTGGCACTTTTTTGTTCCATATATGACTTACAATAGTAGTTGTTAGGCAGAATGATGCATCATGCAGTCAGTCAATTACTACTTCATACAGTTAATTAAATGGTGAATGAGAGTTTCTGTCATCTCATTTTGTGTGCCAACTATCTTCATTTGTATTGTAAAAAAAATAATTTTAATTATACAATAGTAATATAATTAGGGATATGCCGGTATCAAATTTTCATTTTGCGATTAATTGCTAATGCTTTTATAACGGTATACGGTACTATAACGATATTTGAATTTTGTTTTAAAAAAAAGTACAGTATAACAGGTTTAATTACTTTTTTCTTATAACAAAAATAACTGAACATTTAAATGCAATAAAGCAATACAGAAAAATGTATAAAGTTAAAAGTTTTACACAGATTAAAGTGCAAAAGAACTATAAAGACCAATAGGTATCACTTTACAATAAGACCTCATTAGTTAACCTTAGTTAATGCATTAACATTCACAATGAGCAATAGCTACATTTGCTACAGAAGTTATTAATCTTTGTTTAAAAAATACAAGTCTTAGTTCATGTTAGCTCATTAAATAACACAGTTGCAACTTTCGATTTTAACAACGTGTTATTAAATATTGTAATTGCCTAAGATTAATGAATGGTGAAAATCAAAAGTAGATTTATTTTAAAGACCAACAGTTTAACACTAAATATTGGACATAAACGAACATGTTAAATATAAAGTATTTAAAACAGGTAAGTTCATATATTTGGAGTAAAGTTAAATTGAACAGATACATCAGTCATACAGCGCTCCGGACCGTGCACCCCATGACGAGCCCGACGCACCGCCACAGAAACAAGGATGAGATGCGTTCTAACATAACTGTGGCGTTAAACTCCGTTAGTGAGGGCTCGGTTAAAATATTGCGCACATATAGGCCGTTCAGATTAATTGTTAAAGGGGTCATATGATGCCATTTAAAATTTTCCTTTCTCTTTGGCGTGTTACTAGCTGTTCATGAATAGATAAGATCCCTAAAGTTGCAAAGACTAAAGTCTCAAACCCAAAGAGATATTCTTTATAAAAGTTGAGA